TGATATTAGTAATGGCTGGACTTTTGCCGGACAGTCCTAATATGCCTAAAAGTGTATTTTTGAAATTGTGGATCATAGTCTATTAGTGGAAAGTAACATTAATTTATTGAGCCATGTGTATTTGCAAAATGCAAAGGAAGAGATTAGCTTTTAATCATATGTAATAAGGATAAGTATTGTTATGGGAAATTATTATTCTATTCTATTATTATTTTTTATGCTTGGATTTTATATTTTATTATGTTTCCCAATCAGAACGTAAGCTTTGGAGATCTGCTGTACAACATGGTGCCTATAGTTAACAATGCCATGTTGCACGTTATCAATTTTAAAGAGGGTAGAATCTCATATTGTAGTCTTACCACAATCAAAATCATTTTTAAAAAGTGATTAAAAAAAGAGGTTGCAATCCGTTACTTTAAAGTGTTTCTTTAGGCACAGGTTAAAAAACAGTTTCGGTGGAATATAACTGTTCCAGGCTGTGGTTCACATCAGAAATACTGGAGAGGTTTGATGAAGAGTCAGATCTCCAGGCTCCATTGCTGTAGATTCTGCTTTCTTGGGCTGAGGTTGAGTCCAAGCAACTCTATTTTTCTTTTCTTTTCTTTTCTTCTTTTTTTTTGGAGCTTTTGAAGTCATCTGTGAAACAGGCATTAGTTTGACAACCAGGGGGATAGTGAAGAAGACACACACAGGAGTAGCATCACTGAGTGGGAGGAATCCGAAACTGTGTCTGCTCCCCTGGTGTTTGAACATACACCCTCCGCTTGGACACTCTCCTCAAGTGAGACCACTCGCAACATTCTAACATAGCCTCTATTTTTGGCTGGCTTCCACCCTTCTCTTTGATTCTTGTGAATCTTGAGAAAATGTAAAAGTTTAAACATTATGCCTTTTATTCACCCTACTTTACAAAGCATTGGTCTATTTGATCATACAAACACATTGCTGCTAGTCTGAATCTTGGACATTTTTTCCTGAGCTACTTGGACATAAAGCATTCCATATCCATGGAGTGTGATGATTCAAACTCTTGAGAAAAATAGACATCAAAAAAGTCTAGAACCCACACTGAAAAGAATAATAATGATACTTAATATCCTGATGTCTAAGTAGATTAATCCCCCACAGACAACTAGACACTTTCTTTACATGTAAAAACTGTGGAGACTTTTTCCATCATTTGAGTCGCAGACGTTAATGCACTTTTGTTCCCTTCCAATCGTTTCACTCTCATCGCAGAACTCAGCCTTCTGTTTCTTGACTCAGCTGTGTCCATCTGTCAATAATCTCCAACTCCTTTGTTTCGGTTGAAGACCCCACAATATAAGCATTGCTCCACAAACCATTTTACAAGTAAATCAACTTTAAAAGAATTTAAGCAACTTTTTCAAGATTCTAGTTGCTAAATCACATAGGTAAAAACCATCATGCCAGCAAAGCTAATGCCATATGTGTATACGTGTGTGTGTGTGTAGAGGAGGTTTAGTTCTTCATGTGAGATCCCAGATTTGCCCTCAGTGCTAAAGACATCGTATTGGCTACCCTATATATTCTAAGGACAGTTAAAGGTGAGGGACTAGGAGTGAGAAGAAAATAGGATTGAGAGGGAGAGTGCAACCATAGGACGTGCAACTTGTTTTCCCATATGAAGATGAGAAAAGGAGGGCCTTAAATATAAACAAGTAAAGTGTAATAAATCTTATAAGAATGAAAGCCTAGGATTTCATCCATGGACACAGTGTCCATTTGGACACAGACTTTGTGGACTTACCTACACACGACTAAAGCAGACAGAGGAGCATGAGAGGGATGTGGGAGGGATGTGGAGGAGTTAAGAAAGAGAATGGTCAGAAAGCAGCCTATATGTCCACTGTTTGGCATGAAAACTTACTGATAGCTGCAGATAGCTTGGGCTAGCACTGCACTGTCTCTTTTGAGAGGCATCTTCTGGATTAGAAGATCACAGCAAAAGTTTGAAGAAACATCCATGGGAATCAAGCACAAGGAGAATTTGGGATGAAGCTGAGTCTTAGTTAGGTATTTCATGCTAAGGTACTAAGGAGGAGGAGGCCACCACAAGAGTTATGCAAAGAACAAGCAAACATATCCCCTCCAAAAAATCAAAAGCTGGGCATTTTCTAAACAAAAAAAGAAGCTAGATATTCTGTAGTTGTGTGTCATCAATGGGCCTCAAAGAGCAAACAACAGCCACGAAAGTAAGTAGCAATCAATGTTAAAAAAGATGGAGACAGCTAACTGCCCTTAGCTAAGGCCGTCTTTCTTTCTCTCTCTTCCTTATTTTGATACTAGAGAAATAAACACAGAAATGAAGGTAAAATCATGAGTACTAGGAAGAGGAGATGGGAAGTGCCTAGTCCTTTGCCAAGTCCAAGTCCTAGACTAGAACCACAGCTCTAATCTATCCCTGAGGGAATAAGAGAGCTTTTGGTTACAAATGATGAGAAAAACTAGGTTGTGATGGTTGAAATGCATCAGTTTTACTAACTGAAAGTGCCTGCAATTCCATGACACTGGAATATCATTAAGAAGTACAATGTGAGCCCTGGCTGGCGTAGCTCAGTGGATTGAGCGCCGGATGTGAACCAAAGTGTTGCAGGTTCAATTCCCAGTCAGGGCACATGCCTGGGTTGCAGGCCATGGCTCCCAGCAACCACACATTGATGTTTCTCTCTCTCTCTCTTTTTCCCTCTCTTCCCTCTCTAAAAATAAATAACTAAAATCTTTTAAAAAAAAGAATTAAAAAAAAAAGAAGTACAATGTGTCACAGGAAGGACCTGCCAGAATAGCTGGTGGCAGTTCCACATTTTTTCCTCCAAAAAAACTCCAACAGATTATGAGTTATATGATAAAAATGGGCCTCAATTGTCTTCAGCTTAAGGTCAGTGTTTTGCATTCGATGTAGATGAGTGGAAGTTATAACATCTTTTTCTTTAGAAAACCACTGAAGATGAGGATAAGAGGAGAGGAAAAAGGAAGGGATGGGACAGTACTGAGTATATACTGCACACCAGATACAAGTAATACAATGTCCAATGCATAATTTTAACTCTTGAGGTAGAATATAACAGGCTTGCACAGAATCAGAGAGGAATGTTATTTGGAGTAAACAAACAATTGTCCACTATAATAACACAGAGTTCAAGTCAAGGTTGGCAGTTAGGCAAGTCAATGTTAAAATACTGACGTTTATAAATAATTATTTTTAAGTACAATTTAAAGTAGACTCGACAGTATCTCTGTAAGAAAATCACTCCCACTTCTATATCTATTACAATACGCTGCTGTGTGTTAGAGAGAAAAGGTGGTTGGGTTACAGCTAGCTTGCCAAGAATTCCCAGGGACCCTCATGGGAATGTGCCATTCATGTAAACACCATCCATCATGCATTTCCCCATGGAAGGCAGTTGGGAACCACCCCCTCACTCTACCACATAGCATACCAGTGTTCATTCTTTCTGCAATACACAGCAATTAGAATCATCAGAGCAACAGAGAGAACATGTTAACGCAGGCTCCCTACAGAAGGCATTTTCCCTAGTGGCTTCTCAAACAAGATTGGGAGTAATTTGTATGAGTCAGGACAATAATACTGCATAACAAGTCACCATAAAAGCCTCAATGGCTCACCACAAGCATTTAGTTTTCTCTCAGAAAGACTGAATTCATTGAGATAGCTTTGTCTCATACTATAGGTGAGTTTGTGCTGAATGATACCCTCTTATCTAGCACAGAAAGTACAGTGATTTGGTAAGAAATAGGAAGCCTGCCCTCTCATACATAATTTGAGGGAAAACCTTAGAATAACTTCGCATAGAAGAATTGAACGAATTGGGAGATGGATGAATAAACTGAGGCTTTTATGTTGCTAATTGGAAAAGTTGAGGTAAACTATAATTATTTAAAATAAATAGCCTCCACTCTACTAATAAAATAAGACAATAGCAGCTCATGAACTACTAAACACTTAGTATTTCATTATAATTCCCCATTAAATATTGCACATGAATGTAAACTGATGCATACTGAATAAAGAGAGAGCATGTAGTACAGGGAAATAAAATGAGTACTGATGCTGGCTATAAAATTATTTATATGAACCTGAATTTGAATGTTATAATCATTATATAAATATTAAATAATATCATTATAATCATCTTAATTGTGGTCATAGAGATGAAAAATCTATGAATAATAAAGTAGGATAAACCAGGATTTAAATCTGGGTTTAAGATTTTCTACAAATGTAACCTGGGGAAAGATATTTGCTACATGGGCTCTTACCTTATCTACAGATACTGTTCAGAGTCTCAGAGGAGGAAAAACAAGAAGTAGCATTCTTTTCTTTCGCATCCAGATTTTAGGATTGAACGATAGAATACACCTGCAGGAGAATATACCTGGAGGACATTATGCCAGGTAAGATAAACCAGTCTCAGAAGCACAAATACTGTATGATTCCACTGATAGGAGGCATGTAAAAGGGTCAGACTTACAGAAGTGGAGAAGAGAATGGTGTTTGCCAGGGTAAGGGACTGGGGTGCAGGGGGAAGGGGAGCTGTTGCTCGGTGGGTTCAAAGTTTCAGTTACGCAAGATGAGCAAGTTCTGGAGATTAGCTGTACGATACTGTGCCTATAGTTAACAACACAGTATTGTCAACTTAAAATTTTGTTAAAAGGATAAATCGCATGTCAAGTGTTGCTATCACCCCCTCAAAAAAGGTGGGACACAAGAAACTTTGGGAGGCGATCGATATGTTTATGACCTTGATTGTGCTGAGAATACCAGGCATATGCAAAGGTGCAAGGGATTTTAGGTATATGAGGGGGGACCCTAAAAAGCTGGAATTTATTTTTTAAAAATTGTGTCTTTATTCTTACATGTTTAAACTTTGGTCACCTTCGAAGTACTCTCCATCTGATGCAATACACTTATCAAAACATTTTTTCCACTGCTTAAAACAGTTTCTAAACTTGTCAGTTTTGATGCTTTTTAGTGCTTCTGCTGTTTTCTGTTTCACCTCTTCCACATTGGCCAAACATTTCCCATTGAGGATGTTTTCCATCTGGGGAAACAAACAAAAAAATGTTGCTCAGGGCAAGATCAGGTGAATGGAGGGGTGAGGCAGTGGGGTCACACCATTTTTTGGTCAAAAACTGCTGAACACTCAGCACAGTGTGGGCAGGTGTGCTTGTAAGTCAGTCATCATAAAATGGGCAAATGGGTTGAAAGAGTCTTCAAAAAAAAAATTCACTGAGGCCAAACACAGCCTCTCACACCACCACCAGCTGGTACACTGGTACAGATGGGTTCCTAGGACATTCACCTGGCGGGGGAAGCCTGTACTACAAGGGGCCCACTCTCCAAAAGATAATTCCTGGGGTTTTTTTTTGGTGGGGGGTAATAAGCTCCATTTAGGTGGGATGTATTTGCAGGTAAACTTGGCTGCCTTAAAGCACATTCTCCAATAGCTTCATCAGTCCTAAAGCTGATCATTTCATCTCCATCTCTCAGACTCCTGTGTCCGACTCTCAATTGCTTCTGAACTCAAGTAGAGAAAAAAGGGTGTTGTATAGGCCCCCTTCAGCCTCGACTGTGATATACAGGAAATATGTGATAGTACCTGGCATGGGCCAGGCAATTAATAAATATCTATGTTCTCTTCCATCTTAAGCTGAAGCAACTATTTATTATGCAGACTCAAAGACCATTTCTTTTCTAGATATCTTCCCTTTGTGTATGATTTAAAGTCTATATGACTAGATAAAAATCAAGCTCATTCCACACCCGCTTTCATATTATATTTGATCAGGCTATCATGATACGTTAATTATCTTCCAGCAAACTCCTTGAGTGTTTTTTCTTTAAATATATCTTTGTCCATCTACAAAATCTGGGCCCAAATGACAGTCAGCTTTTTGTCTACTCTTGCCACTATAAACAGGCTTTGATGAAAGGTGGGGTGAGGAATAATCAGACAATATGGTGTAGTTAATTTCTGTGAACCCAAAGACAGCTAACGGGACCACGAAACAAGAGGGTGTGTTCTTTGTTATAAAATGGGTCAAATTTGTTTTCCATTATGAGTCTGTATTGTGTAAGTTGGTGCTATTGTATCTCTCTATTCTGTTCAGAAAGCTTCCCTCATTCCTGCTGTGATGCAAGAGGAATGCCTGTTTTCCCTGAAAACAGATGGGTTTCTCCGCCCTGAGATGCAGCACAATGTGCATCCCAATTACGTTGTCCCAATTTGCAGCCTCCATGCCTTTCTGGACAATCCCCAGGGCCATTCTTTAATGACAGCCTTCATGTACAAGAAGAGTCATTGTAATGCCAAGTCTAGTTTTGAGCAGAGCTGAACAAGAGGAAATAGCTTTAAATTGCACCAAATGTATGCAGGTTGGACATAAGTAAGAACTCTCAAATAATAAAACTCTTGTTGAACATGGATAAAGGTTATGACAGTACAGGATTATCCATGTCATCCTTAGAAATAAATTGACAGAAAATCACTGTGTGGAAAGCTTTTGGCCTAGGTAGGGTAACTATCTGGCTTAAGTGCCACCATTCCCCAGCTCCCTAATTGTGACAGACATCACTAATTGATCTTGAGACTCCTTACCGAGTCCAGACCCAGCTGTAGAATTATTGTCAGTGTTGTGCTTTAATAGGGTATCACCAACAGATCAGAGTAGGCACATGAGACAAAAACTTTGCCATAACTCTTTTAAGCCTGCAAAAAGATCTTTGAAGTCTCATATATAGATACTAGCATTCAATATTTTATTATTAAATGTGCTTTTCTGGGATATAACAGAGCACATTTGTGAAATTCCATTATCCTTTTAGTATAACACATTTCAAGAAAACTGGACTACCAATAATAGGGTTTCTGAGGATGGTGAATTGAAGGATCTCTAGCCTAATATTCCCACACATCATACCCTGGAGTGGGAGTTGGGGGAAGGAACAGGGATATTTAAAGACAAATGCCCTCAACATATGGGAAAAATAGTCACTACATAGGGTATTAAAATATTTCCATCTGTGTTCCCTTAAATATTTAGGAGGAAAAAGATACAACCTCTTCTAAAGAGGCTTTAGAGAAAAAGGCAAACCAGCAACACGGTGAGAGGTCATCTCAAGCAGACACCTACCAACCGTCGACCATCATAGCTCAGGCTGAGCGTGAACTTAGGAACGCTTAGCAGAGGCAACGTAAAACCTACCAACTTCATGATGACAGGTGCCCTAGTTTGGATAGAGGCTGCTCTAGAATATTGAAATGGTCATATTTCATGACTCTCCATGAAATATAATCATAATTTTTATGATTTTTATACTTTTTTTAAAAATAATCATAAACTAATACAATAGAGGTCATGACATGATAGAGCAAGATAGTAATCACAAGATAGCTTGCATCTCCCATTCCTGATGAGTCCCTATGACTAGAAGCCAGAAAACAACAGAGGTCCTAGTAAAGTAATTAGAAAACATAAACTTAGAGATTTTTAAGTATGGAATACATAAGTCAAGGAGACCCGTGAAACGGTCAGATTGTAATTGTCCTGCCCTTTCAAAGCTGAAACACCTATGAAGAAATGCTGAAAGAAGAAAAATACTTGATATCAGTTATGGTGTAGTTCAGAGAAAGAGCCCCAGAGACTGACAACATTTGAGGTGTATTTATTCTGTTTTAGTTTTCCTAACAAAAACACATACTCAAACACATCATAGATAGACAGGGAAGGGGGTGGTAGATAGACAGATAGATAAATAATAGATAATTTGTTCATAGCTTTTTACTAATAGCATTATATGAGTAACATAGGGACTTGGAGCCAGAAAGACGTGGTTTTGAGCCCCAATTCTGTCATTTATTGGGTATGTGACTTTGGGCCTTTTATTTAAGCTTTATGTATGTTACTCTGAAGTCTTTATGACAATTCTGTGTACACTCTTATGAAAACCCTTCGTGAATTTGCTGACCTAGAGTGGTGATTTAGCAACATCATTTGTACTGTCATATAACAAAAAAAAAAACCCTAAATCAAATAGAATAATTTAATTTTATTTGTAGTTTATTTCCCTCAGAAAGAAAACTAGGAGTCATCAAATCAGTGAGCTGTTGCCCAAAACTCAGAATTTCGTCCGATGACAGCCACTGGGGGTTAAGGTGTCATAAAAGACACCCTGACATCTTTGGACTGACTTTTGGTCAGGCTACCAGGAATTCATGTGCTGGTGTGACATCAACAGTGTTACAGCTCAAGGAATGGGAGCCAGACTGCCTAAGTTCAAACCCTTGCTCCACTTCTTACTAGATGAGAACGTTTGGAAAAGTTTCTTCACTTCTCTGCGCTATAGTTTAATCAGCTGTAAAATGGAATTCTAAGTTTCTTCCTCATGGGATTGTTCAGAGAATTAAATGACTTAATGAATGAAAGTATTTAGGACATTGTCTGATACAGTTAACACCATATACAAGTTAGCTACTAGGATGTCTACCAAACTTGTTCATCTAATGTACATGAACTTTATTCAGCATAAACACATCCCCTTCCTTACCAGAGAGTTTATGCTGTTCAGATCCCTAATAATGGATTTCCTCAATGGATTACTATGTGTAAAGAGTTAAGTTTCCTGGCATTTATTTCACATGAATAGGAACATTTATACTTGCAGGCAGACCTAGCATTTCTTTTGTTCTCCAAAAAGAAGTCAAATTTCATTCCTGGCAGAAAGAAAGAGAAGAAAAGGAAATAACCCTAGCACATTGACCTGAAAGAATTTTTCTTCCTCTTTAATTGCAGCATTCATCAGTACACACATATGGCCTTGCTTTCCCTTTGCCTGACCACACTGTCCCAGCCTCGTATTCCCTCCATGCCTCTTCATGCAGTTATGAATAGCCCATTTGGAAGGAGCCCTACATAGAAAAGAAACTCTATTCTGATTAAATATTGAACATTAAGATGATCAGGCCTACATACAAACAAGGGAGGCCTGAGTTAGTGGAAATCTCAGCAACAGGGAAGGGTCCCGAGGCAGAGATCCATTTCAGAAAAGTGATAGAGACATTTATAAAACTGTCTGAAGATTATAAATCAAACTGAGGTCCCGAAGAAATTACTATATGTTGGAATATAAATATATATAAGCATGTATACACAACAATGATTCATACCATTGAGAGATGGAGAAAGCTAAGTTTCAGATATAAATAATTCTGCATTTCTCTGACACGCTTTTGCCAGAAGACAGGGAGAAAGGGTGGAGCTCAGTGCTCAATGGTCAAACAAGCATAAAATAAATGGCACCTGAGGATTTTGGGCGATAGGTTATGCAAAATGATGACTTGTGACACAGCAGCTCTGTGCTTTTCCTCACCAAAGTACTTAGCAAGCTAGAGCAATAAATCTCTTTAATAGTCCCTGGGAGGCAGATTGGGGCATTATCCCATTTTATGGATAAGGACGCCATAAAATGTAGGCTGTGACTCTGCCCAAGGCTAGAGGAGAATTTGTTCCCGAGTTCCATGCAAGGGTTGTGCCGCTGTGCTCTCCTATTAAAAAGGGTAGGCTGGGAGCCTGTTTGGGTCATGAATTTCATCAAATCTCTTACGTTAGTCTTACCCTCAGTTTCTTCGAGGAAAAATGGTTTGTGTTTTAGTCATGTCTTCTAGAGAATGCTTCATCATTGACGAAAGAAAAGCCATGCGATTCATTGACTGTATCTAGAACAGTATTGAGTCTTGCCCGTGGTAATTTGAGTTCTACATTTGCTACCTTGTACCCATATCCCCTCACTTTCCTTACCTGCCACTCTGCTTCATGTCAGTTCCCTCCTCCAAGCTATTGTTCCTGCTCTGTCAGAGAGATCTATTTATGGGTAATATGGCTATTAGCTCATGGTGTTCCCGCCCACAAACCTTCAGTGGCTCACAAAACCAAAACATGCATTGAACGTACTTTGTGTTTTCTGCTGTGTGGCATAGAAAGGTTATGGCAGCAAAATGGACATCAATTCATCAGTTGATTCATTCATTCAAGATTCAAGGAAGAACTGTTGACTGAAGTGCCAGGCACCTCCTGGGCACTAGGGATGCAACAGTGAACAGCAGAAGCAATAGTCTCTATCTCCACGGAGCCTCTAGTGGGGTAGACAGGTACTACAATGAGAAAGAAGTCAAGCGCATAGCTTGCTGGATAGGGAAATAAGAAGAAACAAAAAGCAAAGTAGAAAAGGGAGATATGAGATTGTGGGAGGATTGTTAAAATTTTAGATAAGTTAGCCAACGGTGACCTCAAGAAGAAGGTGACATTTGAGGAAAGACCACCTAAAAAAAAGGAGTAGCTCTTTTGTGCCATGCACTTTAAATGCAAATAAAACTGTGAAGTCAGTGTTATTTCCCCATTTTGTAGATGAGGAAGCTGAATATAATTAACTCAATAATACAGGATTCCTGATTAAATTTGAACATCAGATAAGCATATTCCATGCAACATTTGGGATACTTACACTAAAAAAAAAAATGGGTAGCTAATCTGTAGTTTCTGGGGCTGATAAATTACTGTGAATTGCCTAAAAAGATAAAAAAAGATACTCAGTGATGCTAATAATATTAAACACTAATAATAATGAAACAGGCATTGTTGTGTATTAATTCATTCAATATTCACACTCACTGTATTAGGTATAATTATTGTTCCCATCTTACAAATGAGAAAACAAAGATACAGAGTAGTTAACTTGTAATTTTAAACCCAAGAGCTGATTTTGGGACCAAGAAAAGATTTTTCTCATTGCTAACACTCTAACATTAATTATGGAATGTTGCTTTAGAATTTATTTATTTTTAGTTTCTTAACTTATGTTCCATCTAAAGAGATGTTTGTATTTTATGTCTATATGGTGTATCATTTCAACAGTGTTCATTCATTGAGCAATTATATTCCTGGATTTCTTCTATTCTATCTATATGCTTTTTAACACACCTTCAATTATTAACAACATGCTCTAATGCATAACCTTCTCTTCCCTCAAAGAAATTCGAGAAAATAACTAATTAAGGAAGAAAATGACTTTGCCTGTAAATCCTCAATTACAAAGCATCCTGGCAAGAGATAGTTTTCCTGCCTTTCCATTACAGTGTTATCTCCAGATGAAAACTCAAATGAGAATTCAGATGTATCAGCTTAATCAAGAAAAGTATTAGCGGACAAAGAAGGGGAAAAAAAACATGTTGGAGTCTTTCTCTACCATCCACACTGACTTTCCTGTGAACAAATACGCCAGGGTGGAAGCAATACCCCTGATCTTGCACAGCTGTGGGAACCTAGGCAGTGTGAACAAGGAGAGGTGGGACATTGTTCCTTTCTGGCCCTGACTGTAATTCTATTCCATTTAGGATTTAGCGTAGGAATTTGCAAGCTTTGGATCAAAATGTAAGATAATCTAAGTATCCATCTTACTCAATAATGGAACAGAAAAATTAAAAAACGGTGTTATCTGCCCTTGTGGCCATGGACACCAGGGGCCTCGGAATGGTTTCGGGAACACGGAAGGCAGAGGCCCACCACCCAGGGGTGTAGAGGAGAAGCTGCAATGGGCTCAGACACAGAGCGCAGAGGTGCGGTTTGAGCAGACCCTTAAAAGACAGGACGGGCTCCGACTGCAGTTTCTGAATGCCCGGGTAGGAAGCATTGATTTCACCCCCTAGGCCAGTTACAATCACTGAAGTCTTGGAGCAGGGCAATTTCCTCATTTTCCCCCTGTTTTCATAATTTAGAATAAGAAGTGAATCACGTGTAGTGAAGATGGATAGTAGAGGTAAGTCACAAAATCACTTTCAGTATTAGTTTTCTTTTCAGTAAGAAGGAAAATTACCCTAGACTTCTCTTGAAGATAGAGATGAGAGAGAGAGAGAGAGAGAGGACCTCGATTTAAATGTCCAGTATTCTCTGTGGCACCTACTAAAACGCTTTTAATATAATTGAGTCCCCAACCAGCTTTTTTCCTAAAGAATCACAAGAGTAGGGCAACGGCCCTGCATGAATAAGCGTGCACTCCACTGTCTGTGCTACTCTGCGTCTTCCTTTAATGCGAAGTAAAATAAAATGGAAACTAATTGAAAGATATGTCAGGCTCTTTCCATCTTTCTCAATCAATTAAGAGTAAGCAACTTTTGAAGTAGACTTAAACAATAGCAAGGAAGGTTCTTTTTCTCAGTAGGGACATTTTGAAATTTTTATTTCATTCACAAGGCTCTCACTGAAGTATTAAATTAAAAAGAAGCTCTAATTTCCCAGGTGCTTCATATCTGGGAGCACCTCCCTCTCTGCGAGCGGTGCTAGTGCTCCCTTGGCACTGAACAGAGCTCAGTTCGAGCTCCATCTGTCAGGAATGCCAGGCTGAGTACTCCAAGAAATAAGAGTGTCAGAACTCCAAGACAGACAAACTCACATTTTCAGGTTGGTGTCTGACATAGCTATGAAATCAAATGAATCTGGCTCCAGTTATTTGAGGATCTGGTGTGCAAACATGCAATGGGGAAACCAAAAACAAACACACAAACAAACAAACAAACAAAAACAGAATTATCTTTTGGAGGGCTGGCCCTTTGTAGTACAGGCTTCCTCTGCTTGGTGAGTGTTCTAGGAACCCATCTGTATCAGTGTTCCAGCGGGTGGTGTTGTGAGAGGCTGCATTCAGCTTCAGTGAAAAATTTTTGAAGACTCTTTCAACTCCATTGCGCATTTCATGGTGGGTGATTTATGAGCACACCTGCCCACACCCTGCTGAGTGTTCAGCAGTTTTTTGACCAAAAACAGGATGACCCCCGTGCCCCACCCTCCCTATGCACCCAATCTTGCCCCAAGGGACTTTTTTTTGTTTCCCTGGATAAAAAAGTCCTCAAAGGAAAATATTTTGCCAGTGTGGAAGAAGAGAAACAAAAAATGGCAGAAGCGCTAAAAGCCATCAGAAATGACGAGTTCAGAACTGTTTTGAGCAGTAGCAATAAAGTCTCAGTAAGTGTATTGCTTCAGATGGAGAGTACTTTGAAGGTGAATGAAGTTTAAACACGTAAGAATAAATACACAGTTTTTTATAAATATATTCCAGGGGTTTTTTTTGAGGTCCCCCTTCATATGTAGATTCCATTTTTAAAAATAAACAATCTAATTACCAAATAGGCAAATGTATATGAAGAGTTTATGGAAAGGAATTAAAGATGCCAAATAAACACATGAAAAGATGTTCAATATCATTAGCCATTACAGGAATGTATATTAAAACCACAATGATATATCAACATGCACCTATAAGAATGGCTAAAATGTAAAGAAAAATTGTGATAACACCAAATGCGGACAAGGAGAGGAGTAAGCTGGATTACGTATATATTGCTGGTGGGAAAGTGAAACGGTGGGTCCACGTGGAAAAACAGATGGACAGTTTCTTTAAAAACGATACATGCAACGACCTTATGATCCAGCAGTCGCACCCTTGGACACTTATCCCAGAGGCACAATAAACTGTGTTCTCACAAAAAACTTATGCATGAATGTTCAGAGCAGCTTGATTCATAACAGCCCCAAACTGGAAAGACAGAAATGTCTTTCAACAGGTGAATAGTTCAACTTTGGTACCTGGAATATTACTGGGCAATAAAATGGAACAAATTGTTGATACACCCAACTATCTAGACAAATCTCCAGAGAATTATTGAGTGAAAAATGTCAGTCCCAACAGTTACATGCCGACAAATTCTATTTAGATAACTTTCTTTAGAAGACAAAATTATAGAAATGGAGAAGAGAACAGAGGTAGCCTGTGGTTAAGTATGGCAGGAAGAGAGAGAAGGACATGAGGATAGCTACTAGATTCAACACAGGGGATCCTTACAATGATGGAAATGGTCTGTGTCTGCACCGCATCAATATCAACATGCTGTTTGTGACAGTGTGCTCGTTCTGCAAGACATAACCATTAGGAAAAACTGGAGGTGATAAGTACATGGGCTTTCTATGCATTATTTCTTACAGCTGACTGTAAATCTGCAATTATCTCAAAACAAAGAGTTTAATTAAAATTTAAAAAGTGCATCTCCTCTTAGCCAGCTCTCCTTCATCGCTGTAGCTCCTCTTTCTCTGGATGATAATAACTGCCCCTCCCATTCCTTCAGAGCAATAGCTGGTACCAATTCCATGCTGCTGTTAATCTTGAACATTCTGTAGCACTCCTTATTGGTTTCCTTTAACTCTGCCCCCACCTTTGTTAATAATACACTTTTCAAAGCATTGCTCTATCTGTTTCCTATCAAGACTGGTATGCTTTTCAACTGGCTTGGCCTTGAGCTCTCAGGAGATGCCCTTAGTAAAAGAGAAGCCATGTGTAGTGGAAAGAGCATGAAAGGGAAGGTCAGGATGCATCCTTTAAGTACCTCCTATGTGTCAGGTAAAGGTCAATGATTTTGCGTGAATCATACCATCACTCATCTGAGCTGGGGATCTTTCTCTCCATTTTATGGTAAGTTTCTGCCATCACACTGCAATACTTTCAAAGGCCTGGATTCTAGGCTCATGCCAAAAAATTTTTCTGAGTGTAATTTCCTTCTCCTTTTAAGGTTTAACACTGATGCTTCATGATCACTACATAAGGAGTTGATCCTCACTCAGGAGCACTTCTCCCTTGTTGTCATGTTTTTGTCTATTTCAGATCAATTAGTTGGTGTCACCTCTCTTCTGATGCACCAGCAAAGGAAGTGTGAGTGGAGCACTGTGTGCTGGCCTATGTGTCCAGGGATGCTGGCATTGACCTACCTCTCATGTGACATTGGGTAGAACGTTCAGAACTGCTGACATTCAATGTCCCCACCTAAAAATGGTGGAAAAAAACAGTATGATGATTCAGCAGCTCCCTTTCCATTTAGATATATTTTGGTTCCCTGAAAGAATATATTTCTTTTTATTTGATCATTGTTTGTTTTCCTTTTTACATTTTTCCCTTGTTTGTGTTTGTTCTAAAGATGTAATTTTTAATTGTCATTATTTTTTGTTTTTTTGCAGCCAATCATTTTCCACCAAAGTATCTTTGCCAAACTCAGAGAAGTAAATATATATGAGTCTCTCATTGTCATCATATTGGTGATTTGTTTTTACACATTAGCCTGACCAAAATTTAGGACTTGAATGAGGTTCTTTTGTTTCAAAATTTTGTCTTTAAAAAAATTTCTTACCCCCTCTTTTATTTGTTTTTCAGCTGATCTCCCAGAGTTTAACATAAAAAATAGATACCTTAGAAGCAATGTCATTTCTACTGTTTGGAACCCTACCAAGTGTCTCTCAACTTGACCCATTTTCCATTTTGAAGCTCTTGCCCAGCCACCTGCAACACTTTTCTTCACTTCTGTCCATCCCTGACAGAAATCCCTTTGTTTTCTGGGGCTGCTTTATGTTCTCTGTATCATGACAACCTGGTTCAAGAAATGGAACCCCTGTCCTGTGTAAGAGTATTTTGCTCTTGCCTTCAAATGGTTTGTACTGAGCCTGTCAGAGACAAAGGAAACCTATTCTCATTTTCATTTAATACACACTGCAGAAACATTACTCTGATATGAACCAGAGCCTGAAAATGGAGAGGTAATTGTTGTTGCTAATCAGAAATAAATATCACACAGAGATAATTGCTTTTTTCATGTGCAAACATTGCGCTCATCCATTAAATTTAGGCACACTATTGACACACTCTGATCAGAAGCCATTCTTAGCCCCAGATGCCTCAGAACTACTGCCTTGTGTCACAAAGGGACACAGTAAATATCTATTTCTCTCTGAAGCAAGAGAGACATGCAAAATGAAAGCAGCTGCTATTTACAAAACACACAGTAATTGCCAAATCATTGAACCCTTATTTTGTTCTCTAGTAGGTGCTTGGTTTACTCCTTTTTGTTCCACCTTAGAATAAACCCAAGAGGCCAAGAAGCATGTCCTATTATGCTGACATTCTTGATAAAGTTAAATAACTTATACAAGCTCACACTATTAAAAATGTCAACAGATGGATTCAAATCTAGTCCTTTCAAATGACAAAAACTATATCCTCTCTCTACATATAAGATGGCTTAGAACAGCTAAAAGTAGCCAGCCCATCCATCCACTCAATTAGTCATTTATTTTATAAATATTCTGAGAATGTAACATGTGCCAAATATTATTCTGGGAAATTGGGATATATTAATGAAAAAGAAAAAAATCTGCTATGATGATGCTTACATTATAGAAAAGAGAGATAAAGAATAAACAATCCACATCAATATAAATTTTTAAAAATGAAATGTGTGGCTTGTTAGAAAGTGATAAATGCTCTGAGAGGAGATAAAAGAGCAGAGTAAGGGAATGGGATGTGGAGGTACCTGGACAGTGGGTGGGAACAGGACTCGGTTTTGAATTGAATGGGTAGGACAGGCCAATTGTAAAGGTAACATTTAAGCAGATATTTGAAGAAGGCAAGGGAATGTTTGGTAGGTGGATGAGTACTTGAAAGAAGGAGAACAACTTATGCAAAGACAGTATGACAGGAGCGTGTGTTGTGTGCAGAAATGTAATCGGAAAAGACACCAGTGTTTGGGCTGCCTGTCACTACCAAATCCAATAAGCAATGACAGTGATTGAATCTTTTATAGGCACTTTATTCAGATGGCTGGCAATCCAAGAAGATGGTGGGTTCATACCCTAACAAACCATCTTGCCCTTTCTTTCCCAGCCAGATCTTTTATAAGGGAGCTGGGGGAGGGCAAACAAGGTGTCAGCGAAAGCCTTTGAAATTCAACAGTTGCCTCCAAGGGGGAAGGGTAGTCTCTTGCTTCTTCCTGGTACAGAAGTCTCCAGACTGAGGTAATCTCCAGCCAGTGCCTCAGGAGGTCAACTGCTGAATCCCAGGCACCAGAATGGGCCTTATCTGTAGTTACTGAAACAAAAACTTAACATACACATTACTTGCTAGATTTATGACTATTTACCTTAAGCTAAATTTTCCCAAGTCTTAAACCCCTATCAGAAAGAGAAAAGTAAAGAGGCAGATCTGTCTGGAAAAGAATGAGGGGAGGGTTGATAGTTGGAGTTGAGCTTGGAGAAGTAATGTAGGTTCACAGAAGACACTTGACTTTTACTCCGCATAAGGTGGTAAACCATTGGAAAGCTGGGGTAAAGAAATAGCGTTATCTGATTTACTTTTCGAAAGAATCACTCTGGCTGCTATGTGGAGAATAAAGTGTGCAGGAGCTAAGAGGAAATAGGAAAACCTGTGAGAAGGCTCACACAGGGCAATAACAAGTGATAAAATGTTTGATATATTGTGAAAGTAGAGCAAATAGAATTTCCACTGAGATCAGATACAGAGTTTGAGAAAGAAAAGGTAAAATCCAGAATTGTCCAAGGTTTTTGGTCTCAGAAACTAGAAGGCTAGAACTTTCATAACTCAGTTGATAAAGTCTGAGGGAGGAACAGAATTTGAAAGGATGATAAGAATTTCAGTTTTGGACATCTTGCATTTAAGAAGTCCACTACACTTCCAACTGGTGATATTGAACAGGCAGATGTACTTGTCAGCCTGGAATTCAGTATCTTGGTCTTTTCTGGAGGCATAATCTGGTAGACTACGGCACCAGCATGGAGACCAGAAGGAGATTGCCGAGGGACTGAATACAAATGGAGAAAACCAGAGGACTGAGGACTGATTCTTAAGACCGACTTTACAAGAGGGTCAGGAAAAGAGAAGGAGCTAGCAAAGGAAAGTTGAGAAGGGGTGAAAAGTGAGTAGGAGGAAAGCCAAGAGAATAATATTCTGAAAGCCAGATGAGGAGTGTGTCGAGCAGCAGCAGGAAGCGATCACCACGGACAAGTGTTAGACTATGTCAATTATGACAAAGACTGTGAAGAGTTTATCGACTTCAGCATCATAATGACTCTGACAAAAGCATTGTCATTAAAGTGGATAAAGGCCTGAGGCAGTGAGTTTAAAAGAAAGAAGGAATCAGAAGCAGACTTGATAGACAACTCTTTTAAGGTTATCGTCTGCAAAGGGAAGAAGAGAAATGGTGTAAAAGCTGTAGAAGGAAATAGCCTAGGATGATTTTTTTCTTCAAATAGGGAAAAGTAGTAGCCTGTTTGAATACTGATGGAAATGCTTCAGTAGGGAGAGAAAATTCAATGACAATGGAGAGAGGGAATGATTGCTTGAATGATATTTTTTGAGTAGGCAAAAGATATAGGATCCAGTGAGCAAACAGAGGAACTGATTTTTAGATAGAGGTATGGGGAGCTCAACTGGAGCAACAAGATCCATAATTTGACTCCATTGGTGTGGTAGATGTGGGTGGAAAATTACCTTCTGATTGCTTCCGTTTTCTCAGTGTAGTAAGAAGCAAAGCCATCAGCAGAACATGGAGGTAAGAAAGTCACTAACACTAAATAGGATGATTGCTGAGGACCTTTCAGGGCTCACTTACAGCACGTGGTTATGAATTTAAAGAGAGATCAGCCAGTATGGTCAAGAGGTTTTGTTCCACACACGGTCAACTGCATGGGCATACACACCAGGTAGGTGGGGAGTTGGATTTAACCTGTGTTTGTTTTGTCAAACAATATTAATAAATGAGAGAAAAGCCAGGGAATTGAATATGAATGCAAAAACACAGTGATGATAGTGACTGACCATGAAATTTCAGCTGGGAGAGAACACCTGAAGGGTAAGGAACAGTGAATAGTTGGTAGGATCAAACAGTAAAAGTACCAATAGTATCTAATGACCACTGGAATTATAGTAACAGCCGGGATTAATATGGAAAAGGAAAGATGATAATACTTACATGGTGGTTCACATACAGTTGAAATTAAAAGAGAGTTGCAGTTAAATGAGTAGCTAACCAAGAGCTAAGGTAAGTAGATGACACAGATGATTGATAACACAGATGACACAGAGACACAGATCATTGGAGAAGAGGAGCTCCAGGAACCTGAGACCAAGAATGATTGGAAGTTTCTCAGTTGTCATAGTGCATGTGAAACAGAGTTTATCCTTGTATTATTACTTACTAATTATTGTATCATTTTCCATATGAACACCTGTAAACTACCTTTGCCCCAGCCTGTATCTATATGAACATTCAACCAAGAGCTAACACCATTTACATGTCAAGGAAAGTAGTCAAAGATTGGTAAGCAAGAACACCACCAAGGAGTGGTAAGTGATATAATGTGATGGCATGAGATTTGTAGCTGGGGACTTTAGGGAAAAGATCCAGAAGTTTAGGCGGGGAGAGGAAGCTAGCTGCCCCTTGGTCTCTGCCAGGGCTGGTGGCTTGATAATTGTGGGAGAAATGGCCACACCCAAGAGGATGACAGGAGAACAGTGTTCTCAGGGCACCTTCAGGTTTCCCTCCAAGTGAGAAGATAAAAGCACATTCAGCGAACTATCTGCAAATATAGGAAGTTCGGCTGATGATAAACTATTAATTCCAGAGGACACAGTAAAGATCTTTAAAAATGAAGTCATAGGATAATGAGGAATGTGTGAACTTTATGGAGGTTTCAAGTGTGAGACAGAAAGATAGAAAGGGGCTTCTTTCTAGTTACTTTCAGAGCTCAGAACTCCTCTTGCCTCCTGATATTTGGGCTTCAGTCATGGGGCGTACATTCATGATGTTTAAAACTAGCTAGGCCTTATAATTCTAGAGAGTTTTTACCTCCTACACATTCTTCTGGTTTTAACAAATCTAAGATCCTGGGGATATAGAAGTCCATTTTTCTCTTATCTTGAATTCAAGTTACTGAGAGATTAGAAGGCCTAAGGACTGGAAATTCTCCCTCTAAAAATAAGAGGGAATCTACAGATGTCTGTGTCAGCAAGAAGGGTGTGCGTGTGCACTGTATTTGTGTGTGGGTTCACTAATATAGAACACGAGAAAATACACTCCCTAAAGACTACTATTCTATTCCCTAGGTGATGAGGAGAGGCTTTCTCCTAACAAGACTAAAAGCTAATACTTTTGAGCATTCTAGCCCCAAATAGCTGATAATAATGAATCTTCTCCCTACCCAACCCCTGCCTTCGATACCCCAAAGAGCCTCCTGGGAGGCACAGGAGGCAGACAGTGATGTCCTGTGCTCTGGGTATGGGGCAATGGCCATCAAGAATAGTTAGTATTTCTTTTCTCTGTGCCAGAGTTCTACCACTTAATCAAATCATTAGTCAATTCAGAATATGAAAATGTTATTTTTAATCCCATACCCTAATATGCTGGATATTATAATCATACATATTTAATCCCTTTATATATCTTTTACTAAAGTATATTACATTTAAGCCATCGTCAAATTTCTTGACAAGCAGAACAAAGGACTTTCTCCACTTTCCCCATTCAGTGTCCACCTTAACAGCACTTTTACCTGCTTTCACAGCCCCTTGGATCCTCAGTCCCTTTCCACCCCTCAGCTACCACCAGAACACCCTTTTCACTTCTTCTGTAACTTACATTTGTCACACATCAATCTCAGAAATTGTCTACATTCTCTTAGCTTAGACAATAACCTCCTTTCTGGAAGTTTATAATAATACATAGGACAACACTCATGATTCTAGAATTCTGGCCTCTTAAAAGACTGTAGCCAGTGTTGGGTTCTTAATAATTCACAGACTCAGTACACTGGAAAAAGTACTCTTCTTGACTTCCCAAAATATGGATATAAAACCCACTTGTTCATGTCCAAAAAAAGAGAGATAGTAGGATATAAGAAGAACTGTACAAATTTTAACATGCTGCACAAGTTAAATTATCTTTCCTTTTTGAGTCAGAAGCTGTGATATATAGGGAATCAGCCCACTTACCTCCCACAATTTCTACCGAGCTGCCAATACTGAAACAGATCTTGTTCTCTCTGTCCCTACCTTCAGCAAGTTTGTTAACTTTCCTGAGCCTCATTTTTCTCAACAGTATAATTGATTATATATAAACACAGTATGTTTATGTATAAACAATGGGATTATACATAAACACGAGAGAGAGACAGACAGAGAGACAGAGAGACAGAGAGAGAGAGAAATTCTCTCTGCAATTTGCAGTGCTCCTCACCCGGGTAAACAGGGAAACTGGACCTCTTGCTCAGGCTGGATTTCAGGGAACCTCACTGGGCATGAATGTGTGTATATTAGCACGTGTCTGCCTATGCCTGGAGGCCCTAGAACAGAGCAGGACTTCAAGTTTGGGATGAAAGAATGCCCAGAATATAAGAGCCAGTTCAAAGTACAAACAAGTGTCAAACACTAATAATTGGATTCAAAGAAAAGAACTGACCCTACAGAATAGAGCTGATGATATAAACAGGTTCGGGGAACAGATCATGGAACAATTGCCAAGAAGCAACTGGTTACAGAATTATAAATATACTCAAATGAAAGGTGGGAGGGATGCTAAGTTCGTTCAGCCAGGAAAGAGAGAGCCACACCATCTAGTCACCCAAAGACTGGTGATCTAACCAGCTGTGTTCCTGACACTGTATATCCTTTAGGATATTTGTCACAGGTTTAGCAACACCAGGGGTTTTGGATGACTGAGGAATAACAATTCTGACTTCCTAGCCCTAAGAGATGGAGAGAGAAAAAAAGATAGTTTTATTTTATCATTTGGAATAATGTAAAAACTGACTTAAAAGGTTTTAGTGTGAAGTAAATACATATGGTGTTCCATGGCACAGTCCAAATGTGGAATGGCATTGTGGAGAATGCTCGTTTTCGGAGATGCATCCTGCACGGAGCTGTCACTCATGAGGGAGTTGCCCTGACGCAATGGGGAGTTGCCGTGGCTCCTAAGCAGGATCCGTGGCAGGGCTCTTTGTGCCACTGATCTCCTTGGGTCATCGGTTCTCCTGTGGTTGAGTGAAACCCAAAGGATGTGATGGGGCAGAAGCAGCTAAAGAGTTTGATTTAAGAAAAGGAGTTTTAACATTGCCTCTGTCTTTGCTTAGAATGTCAACACTGGCTTCCTTCTATTGAAATATGACTCAATTTCTAGATCTCAGTTAAATCAACTCTTCTATGGAATCCTCCAGGAAGTAATCCCTCTGCAGTTCACGATGTTTGCTTATGTACGTTTGGTTTCTGATTCCATCTTGCTCCGAACTAGAGGTATCAGGGCACTCCAAGTCCCTTACATGGCTGTTCCTACTCACTCTTTGAATGGTTGTCCCTCTTAAACCTAATTCTGTGCTTGACACCAATCACGGGTGCTTATTATTAAAACTCACTGCATTCTAAGTCCTCATAGAATATAGGAAATGTTCTAAGTGTTTTATTGGAAAGATATTTAATCCTCACAAGGACTCCAGGAGATGCATGCTATTACAGGTCATCACAATTTTGCAGATGAGGAAATGGAGGTTCAGTCAGCTGCTCACAGCCACACAGCCACACAGCCGTGGAGTCAGCATTCGCACTCAGCAGCCTGCTCCCGAACACGAACTCCTCACCACCCTTCCGGAGATCGCAGCCTGTTGCTTTAGAACACAGGCCGCCTCTCCCCCTCTCTGTCAGACTGCAGCTGAGACCTCGCAGGCAGCGTGACAGCATACCAACATGAGTTTATAGCAGGGAACGTGTCTTTCAGAATGCACTGCATCAGCAAAGGTATTTAAATTAAATTGTCATGTGCCCTCCCAGACGCAGCGCAGCGTGAGGATTCGAGCCATCCGTCAGGAGCTGCCGCTCGAGGCAGCGGATGAACGGCCAGCGCAGCACTAATCTGATGGCAGCCCCCGGCCCAAGTCTACAGCTCACCGCAAATCAAGGTGGGTATCACCTGTGCTGGGAGACAAATGATGTCAAACATCTGCTGAGAAACAAGTCTGCAGACTGTAACAAACCAAGCTTACAAACAAGCACAGGCACAGACACCCCAATTACCTTGGTGGTGGGAGCCTTAGGCGTCTCAACCGGGCTTTTCAGGATAGAGAGAAAGCTCTTCTGCAGACGTCATGGAGGCAAGGTGAGTGGGATGGTGGGGTGCAGAGAGAAGGAAGGACCAAAAGGGCAGACCTGAAAACAACGTTTGAATATATTCAGTCATTAGAGCAAGACATTTTTCTATACAAAACATTGCACTTTTACCACCGTTCCAAAGAAATCCATTCGATAACTTTATGGGGATGAGACCTCGTGGGAACTGTGACCACCAGGCCCCAAGGAGCACAAGCCATAGGCCCGCAGGCAGCTGCAACTGCAGGAGTGCCCAGGAGCTTGCCTGCAATTTTGTTTTAAATAAATGAATACATGAATACATGAACAAATAAATAAGTAAAGAGTGTGTACCTGTTTTACTCTTGCAAAAATGAGGCTTACAGCAGGCAACCAACTTGCCAAAGATAAGGTGGGCAGAGTCATAAAAGAATTCAGACTTGAGTTCTCCTGGATTCTCTAACTTGTTTTCTTTGCATGATAGTCCAATCTCAAACAATGGCCTTCATAAAGGCATATGATATTTTCATATGTTCTTTGGATAAAAATGATTGTGTACCTCATAGGTTACAGCACTGTTCTAGGAACTGGGGATCCAACACAATATAACACAGACCTAGTCCTTATCCTCATGGGGAGGATAGAAAAGAAAATATTGACGTGTAGTCAGGTAGTGACAGCTGCCATAAAGGAAAATAAAGCAACGTCTGGTGCGTAGAGAATGACGGGACATTCTATTTTCTATAAGGCTGTCATGGAAGGCCTCTGATAGGGGGGCACTGAACAGAGAGAGTGGAGGGATGCACTTCTAGACACATACATGAGCCATGCTAATTTGAGCTTCATAGGAGCATTTTATGCACAAGGTGCAGCAAGCACTTGAATCCTAAGCTGGTGTGTATTTCAGATGTTTGAGTTTGCTCTATTATAAGAGCAATGGGGAAATTGAACCCGAAGCTCAGTGAAAGTGAGAGAAGCAGTAAAATTTATGATGAAGAGATATCTGGGGTCAAATAAAGTAGACCTTGTAAGCCATGAGTTGGAAATTACTTGTAGTGTGATAGGAGGTTGCTGATTTTGAACAGAGAAGTGACATAGTGTGACTTGTGCTTATTGCTACTGTAGAGAGAATAAACTATGGGGAGGTCAAGGACAGACACATCAATTGGGAGACATGTGTAGTAATCTAGGTGAGAGATCATGGTAGAAAGCACCACAGTTGTAGAAGTCGAGGCAGTGAGAAGTGCTTAAGATCAGGATGTATTGACAGATGGCTTATATAGAATTTATGGCCAAATTGTATGTGTGGGTAAGAAAAAGGGGGGAGTCAAGTTAACTTAAGCCACTAGAAAAATGGGTTCTCCGTTACTGAGACAGGGAAAACTGGAATAGTACTTATATAGGGGGGAATCCAGAGTTCAGTTATGTTTGAGATGCCTATTAGTTAGACGTGTCAATTATGTTGCACATAATGGTCTAGAATCTAGGTAGAGGTCAGACTAGAGATATAAAAAATGAATGCAGAAAAATTCATCAACATGCTCACTCCATCTTTCTCTAACCTTCCTTTTCTTCTCAATCCCTCTTATATCAAAACTACTTTCATTTACCTGATTACATCAGGTTTCTTTGCAGAGCTGGGAAAGAAGTGTTGCCATTGGATTTTAAGAAAAGCCCTCCATCAAAAATCAAGCAAAGAGGATTTTAAATCATAGAACTAGATATACAAATATCTAACTTGCTAGTGTAGTTGGAATGATTGAAATAAAATTATGTTAGTTAGAAAAGATATAGGAAGAGCTATGAAGAGGGAAGTGCAGGCTTCTATTGGAAATGAAAAATATTGTTATTCAAGAAGAGAACAACTTATACTGAATTCTCCCTCAAAATTCATTCACCTTCAAAGATGTTCAGCTTGATGTGATCTGCAGTGCTATGATGAGCTTATACATCTAGAAAGAGAGCAGAACATTCCATCATTGAATTTAAATAGCAGAAAAAAAGAATGGTAATTAAATTTTATGCCACTCCAAAGGGAAGAAAAGTGGCCTTGACCGTTTCTGAATAAATAATACAGATACAAGAAAAATCTAGGATAAGATTTGGTTTCATGTTCAGACAAATCAGAGACATCATAATTAGAGACAACCCTCTTTCAGGGTGACAGTGTGGAGCGAGGAGAGGAGAGAGGGAGAGAGGAAGAGAGAAAAAGAGAGAAACAGAGAATAATAATTTGTGTTGTGGGTAACAAAATATGTAATAAAGGAAGCAAGAAGATGGAAAGATATTGCAAGATGAAAAATGCTAGAAATTGTGTTTTTTTTAAGATTTTATTTATTTATTTTTAGGGAGGGAGATAGAGAGAGAGAGAAACATCAATGTGCGGTTGCTGGGGGTTATGGCCCGCAACCCAGGCATGTACCCTGGCTGGGAATCGATCCTGGGACACTTTGGTTCCCAGCCCGCGCTCAATCCACTGAGCTACGCCAGCCAGGGCTAGAAATTGTTTTTAAGCCTAGAGTAGAGAAGACATAAATTGCAGAGATAGACTTCCTTGCGGGATAAAGGTCAGACTGCTTTATAATTTCAGAGGGCAGAGGTCACATGTGCCTACCCTCAGATTCAAGACATCCAGCCTCTTCTTGCTGGCTGTGTCAACGAGAACACCTTTGTGTCCCTCCTTGTGCCTTCGGTGTGTCTTCTATAAAATGGGAATAATAATAGCACCTACTTCAATGTACTATAAGAATTGACTAAGAACACTTGGATGATATAAATGGATGGCCCAAGCCTTGATGGGATTAACTCTGGTATGGGGCTGGCTCCTAGTCTGAAAAAAAGGTAGAGTGCTAATTCACACTCGTTCCAGGATAAGTCTGGTAACTGAAAGTGGTTGGTCTAATAGTTTCAACATG